TATACTGCCAAATTTTGAATGAACATTTATATAGTAACCGATGGGTCTTTCAGCATGATAATGATTCTGACCTAAAACATACTTCCCGTGATGTTTAAGGTGACTTAGAAACTCACCTTTCGGGTTAGGTTCTTTTTTGGCCTTCCTATAGTCCTGACCTTAATCTTATTGAGAATGTTTGGGCTATTTTAAAGAGAAATTTAGAGAAAGAGGTCAAGAGAAGGGTGGCACAAAGAAAAAAATTTCAAAGAAATTTTTTTTTAAATTTAATTAGGAAGGAATGGGATGATATTGAAAACATCGCAATAGTTAACTGTATTAATAGCATGTCAAGTCACATTAAAGCATGTATAGATGCAAAAGGAGGCTATACAAAATATTAATCAATTAATAAAACATATGTAATTTTGGTCTATCTTTCAAAAAATAAAAATTTTTTTTAATATTTTATTATAAAATTGCACACATATTATTAAAAAAACTGAGTGCTATTACTTTCGCCAGGATCTGTAACTCTAAACATCAGTAAAAGGCTATATCAACATATAATCTCAAATAACCCATAACTTTAATAGAACAATTTTATCAATTGAATAAAATTTGTCTAATTACTATACTACTGACTATTTCACGTGATTTTAAGCTGAAAAAAATATAAGGTAGAATTATCTTCTTTTTTTTCAGCAATAAAAATATTTAAATAGGTAGAGCGGACGATTTCTTCTATATCAAATATTAATAGCATATAGTAAGCTAATGAAGGATCAAACAATCATTTGCTAAATATAAATAAATTTCATGAATAAATCAATGAATTTAATGATACCATACCATATCAGTATGTCTTAAAATAAAATTCCAATATGTTTATCTACAATTAATAGTAATAGATATAGAACAAAAAAAATGTTTCATGTCTTGTAATATATATTCTTGATCAGCAGTATATTTTTTATAAAATGCATATAAATTAAAAATATCCTTTTGAAATCATTTGAAAAGTCAGAATCTTATTTAAAAAAGAATACAACAGTACTTCTTCATAAGTGATGAAATGGACTTCAAACTAGTTATCAAGCAAAAGTAGAGACATTTACATTCTGTATAAAAGGTCAAAATGTTAGTTGATTACTATAGATATTACATGTAATTAATATAACTAAGACTATTATTATTAGAGAATAAAGAAAAAATGTTAGTTAATCACATATATAATTAGTATAATTAGAACTATTATTATTAGAACATAGAGCAAAAAATGTTGGTCAGTTACTATAAATGTTACATATATGATTAGTATAACTGAGACAATTATTATTAGAGTATAGTAAGATTGCCAGACAAAACCCCGAGGTTTTGACAGGCATCAAAATCGAAATCTATCGAAATGTTTTGCCAAATTTTTTTATTAAAAGCAAAACTGCGAAAGTTTCAATGGGTGACAAAAGTTTCGACGGTTGGTAAAAGTTTCGATGGGTGGCAAAAGTTTCAACAGGTAGCAAAAGTTTCGACGGATGGCAAAATCCGTCAATATTAAACTACAATTTTTTAACTTTAAAAATTTATTTTGAGTTGAAAAAATCATTTATAGTAAAGTCATTCTTTGATTTTATTTATAATATCATATATTTATTTATAAAAGATAAGAAAAAAAAAAATTTACATTTTGAATCAAATTAAATTTAATCTTCATCAAATCCAATTACATCATTTATCTCCCAATTAGTATTTTCTTCATTTAAACTCATGACTGTATCCTTATTTTCTTCATCTATTAAACTTTCATTTAAAAAATTATCATCTTCTTCATAAGAAAATTCTTCTAATTCTTCAACAAGTTCCTGTGCTTCTAAATTTAAAACCTTC